CGTTTTATGTATGAAAACTGCAATTTGTCGGCGCATTCAAGTTCACATAACGCTTCATTTATCAACCAAATACTGCCTCCGTCCTCCTGGCGTCATGGACGGAGCCCTGAGGGCAGGACATACTCGACCAGTCCTCGCGATCCGTCCTCGCTCATACCACGCCGTCCGCGAACTCGCGCATGCCACGCGTGATGGCTGATTCTCAAAGTCAAGGCCAGTCTCCCCGAGTCGCGCCACGAGCGGTGGGCGGTGAGCGGCGCCAAGGCGGGGCGGCGGAGTCGATGACAGTAGCGGTGGCGGCGGGAGTGGCGGTGTGGGCGGTGAGGACTGATGGTGGAGATGAACACAGCGGTCATGTCGGCAATGGATAGGGCGTGTTAGGGATGGTGGTAGCTGTGAAGTGGCGTGGGTGGCAGGGGTAGTGACTGCAGCGGTTGGTCAAATGGGTCCGGCAGATAAAGTGGAGGTCGGAGGGGGATGGGGATTAAAACAGACGAGAGAGAGAGAGAGAGAGAGAGGGGGGAGACAGACAGACCGATGGTGGTGGCGGGGAGACGGGTTAGAAGTGGCGTTTGATTCTGCTTTTGTGATTGCTTTGGCGATGGCGATTTGTGGCGGAGGCTGCGTTGGAGAAGATGGTTGTGGGGAATGTCTGAGACGCTGGTGGTATTGGTGGCGATGCTAGCAAAGACGAAGTCGGCGGTTGTGGTGATGGAGTCGTCGGTGGCGGAAACAGAAACGGCAATGACAGAGACGGTGGCGGAATCGATGACAGAGCGGAGGCGGCGATGGGGGCGGTGAGGACTGATGGTGGAGATGAACACAGCGGTCATGTCGGCAATGGATAGGGCGTGTTAGGGATGGTGGTAGCTGTGAAGTGGCTTGGGCGGCAGTGATGGCAGTGCGGTGACTGGTCGGCGAAAGCGGTCGCGGTCAACGGTCGGTCTACGGTGGCGGTCGCGAGGAGGGAAGGACTGGGAGACAGCGGGAGAGCGATGGCGGTGGTGTGGGTGGCTAAAGGAGAGAGATGGGTATTTCAGAGGAGACGGGGTAGAAGTGGCGTTTTCTTTTGCGATTGTGGTTGCTTTGGCGCTGGTGGTTTGCGGTAGCGGAGGCGGTCGAGGAGGAGGTAGCGGAGGCAGAGCCCGCGGGCAATGTCTGAGACAGTGGCGATAATGGTGGACAAAGAGTCGGCACTGATAGCGGTGACGGTGCTGTCGGAGATATAGACTGTAGTTGCAGTAGCGGAGACAGCTGCGGCGAAGGAGGTGGTGGTGGCGGAAACAGAGGCGACGGTAGCGGTGGTGGAGGCGGAGGCAGGGGCAGAGATAGAGCCGGAGGCGGAGACGTCTGTGTCGGTGACGCTGGCGGCAGCAGTGGCAGTGACGGAGGCGAAGGTGGAGACGGAGGCGGAGCCGCCGAAGGCGGCGGCCGCGGTAGTAACGGCCACGGCAGCGCCGGCGCGGCGCAGCACAGGCTGTCATTATTTGCGGAAAGCGGCGCGTGGGGCCGCTGGGCAAGGCCGCCGCGCCTCACCCAGAAGGCCAGACGTCCACCGCCCGCTGGATTGGGATACTCGCAGCAGCAGCAGGTCCCAGACAAGTCAAACGGGTATGCGCTCGCAAGGACACACGTGCGCGCGGGCGCCGCCTCACAAAAGGCCGAAGAGGACACTCGCAGCGAACCTCCGCGGACGGCGCGAAACTCATTATTCTTTTGCGGGTTGTTAGCAGAAACTACGTAGGTCTACTTGGCGTTAAATTGTTGTTGACGAAAGTTGAGAACATAGAGTGCTTCGTAGTATGAATTAATATTAACAAAACTCTTTGAAAGGAATTCGTAGCACAATTTACTCTTGTGTACACCACGTAATGAACGATGAACGTATTAATGAATGTAAATGACAGGAATGGCAGGTGAACGACATTTACAATCCGTACAGTCCATGTTACAGACCTGAAAATTGGACTGTTTAACCGACATGTATTTTATATGGAACTTACCGTGCTATAACCTGTTCAAGGTTCTTCAATAACGAACGCTGATTTAAGAGGAACCTGTTTGAATCCACGTTATTGAAGGACATTTATAGTGATCGTAAGAGGAAAACGATATAAAATTCGATTATCTTTCAAATATTGCAAATATTTGGAGATCAAGATCGCATTGAAGCAAGATATTCTACATAGTTAAAGGCAATTTAGTTTTATGGAAACACACAGAATGATTACTGTCTACTTCCTGAATGATTACTGGCTGCTTCCCTTGTCCATTAACCAAACAAATACAGTGTTTAGCTTCATGTTCTCTGATTTTGTAGGCACTTTCGAGCAAAAATATCAACGTATGAGGGAATAGTAGAAATATATGTTATAATAGATAAAATATTATATTTAAATTATTTCTATTTGAGAAATGTTTCAAATACTATTTATTGGTTCATTGTGGTAAACCTATGACTCTTATACTCGTTCAAGCGTGTTTGGGAATTATTTCAACTTGTAAATGGCGTAGAGTAAGGATCACCGAAGTAAGAAAACATGCACCGAATACACATATCTCTCTAGCACGTCACACCGCCTCTATTTTTGACCAAAAAAATAAGAAATAAATAAACGAATAATATTTTGAGATTCATTTAGAATTTATTTGATTTAATTTTTCATCATTGATTTTGCGTAGCGTAATAAGTAATATCGACTTTATGTTTGAACCAAACCCATAGTTTGATTCTATTTTGACCAATAAATATATTAATTCGTACTATAATACATACTAAAGGATTCCCCAGATTCGATAGTTTAAAAATATACTTACCCTCGTGCAATATTATCCATTTATAGATGAAATGTCATTCGTCATTTATTGACTAATTTCAAACATATTCGCCATTATTTCATCGTTGCTCGGAATAGTCGTGTCTTCATTTCATTAATGGTGTAAGGAAACGACTATCACGATTATCGACTACACACGACTACACACTACACACTAGAGAAAATGTATACATCTTTTTAAACATTTGGTGTCAATTTCTGTATTATTGAAGAAGTTTGAAATCAATTGAATTCGCCCTTGCGCGAGAATAGTGCGATTTAAGCAGTGAAGTAGAGAGAATTGTTTCTGTATATCTTGTGCTTTTTGGAAGCAGTTCACAGTATGAAGCCGTTCCAATCAGACGACAGACTCTCCTTGCGGTCTGAGGGGCGAGGATTTCGAAAGGCAGCAACACAATGTCTATTAGTGAGTGGATTTCGCAAGTTTTGCGCTACCATACATCACACAAACATAGTTCGATTGAAAACATGAAGTCCGGTTTGACACTTGGTCAGCTGTGACGCTCTCATGTGATTGGGAGCTTGAACTAGCTACAGTTACGTCACTATAGTGACGTTGAAGCTTCCGATTGGATGACAGCGTGACAGCAGATCAAGTATCAACAGACTTTATGTTTCAATTGAAGTATAGTATACTTCGTTTCAAAATCGATATTTTTTATATCTACGTGATGAGTGATGCGAGAACCGAATGGTTTTTCCTTTTAGCTGCAATTGATTCTTTTAGACGAAAAGTTAGCTCAGTACCGTGAAGGATTGTACGTGGGCTTTGCCGGGAGGCTGTAGTCACCGAGGTCGCTGCACTGCGCTTCTCCTTGGGACGGGGTAACCTCTTTGTGGTGCTGCTCGCCACCGCCACAGAAGCCTTGTACCTACTATTTGTTCGTATGACGACGGTTTTCATACTAGTTGGTGCCATTAATTATTCATTAAATACCAACATGTGGTTTGCCTTCTAAGGTTTATCTATTCTATAAAACAAAATATGTAGTTCCATTCAAAAAAGCTAAGTTATTCCAATATATTTAGAATAAAAATATATTATAAAAGGCTAATAGCATGTGATCTCTTGTGTCTTGAGTTTTCTATCCGTCATAAAATAATGTTTCATTATTTTCGTAAATGTATGATTCTACACTTAAGTAGTAACAAAAAATATTTTTTTAGAACAATGGGAGGTAGCACCCTCAACTGAAACATATGGTGCATTGAGCGGCAACTCTGAAATTACTTTTAGATTTTGTTTATTCGTAGAAGGTGGTTGAAACTGCAAGACAATGATTGGTAGAACAATATGGTATTTTTTCACACAGGTATTATACTTCGATGTTTACACCTTTGCCTTTTATTGGATCACTTATCTGCCACACACATGAATGCAATAAGAACAGAATTTATTGGTGATTATGTCTCTATATCATAGTGATATGAAATACTTCACATAAATATAATAATTTAACATGTTTCGTTGTTTGAACTCATGAATGCTTACTTGCTCTCATCACATCTGTGCAAGAATTCAGAGCCCGAATACTTGTAGTTCATCAATTGAAGCCATACTATTGTTCGATCTACAGATTTATTGTAAAGCATTTGAAACCTAAGTAGATGTAATTTTAATAATAATTCATAGTACATCATTATATGACTAGTTACAGAGTAAACATGATTTCTACTATAATTTAATATTGATCATTCAATATCAGGCATATTTTTTGCAATTTACGACGAAAATCTTATAAAGTTTAAACAAATAGAAATGAACTCGATTTGGCATTTTAGGACAGTGAAAGTGCATCGTAATGTACAATAAGTGCCACGAGAATAAGCAAATAATTTTATATTTGCTTACTAAAATCCATCGAGTGAGAACTAGTCTCAAAAATGTTTACTTTCACTTGAATATTTTTAATCTTTCTGCGCAATACTTACAACACTTCATGATTCTTTCTTTCATTCCCTCTCGTTTGCAGTGAGGCAGGATTACTCTTTTCAGAGAGAACGTTGCATCGTCATGATCAGGGCATAGAATCTGTTGTGGAGTGCAAGAAGTTGAAGGCCAACGGACGCTGTAGAAATCGAATTAACCTTCAACTTCTTGTTCTCTTCACATACATTTACGCTTAAGACGGGCGAGAAATATTTGAGATCAAATGTTACATATAATTTTATTCCTACGCTAGTGTTTTTTTTAATTTAGGCATTTTTGTTTATAATGTTCTACAATGCTTGTTTAATATGAAACATGCAACTGCCTTATAATACATATTTTATAACGTTTCTTATTACTCGTTAGTAGTGAGGTAAATCTAAGTATTAAGAGAGCGGTTATTAAATACACAGGTGTATTTAATGAGATTTATTCACTTTTACAACTTGTAAGTATATACTCAATGCGTACTGAATTCCCGTGGACCTTGTTCTTTAGAACAGTGTTGCTTTTTCGTTATTTTCTTACATAATTACTACACCTGTGTCTGTGTGTTTGAAGGGAATTCTATAAGAATGAATATGATATACGCACATTTCTTGCAAGATTACAAAAAGGTAACAAAGTACTTCTCATAATTATAAATTTAAATATTATTCTTGTAGGTTGCCGTGTAGAAATAATCACGTCTTTCTTTATCGGAGATCAGCTACATGTTAATTAAGTATAAAAAATAATTTCAATAATTATTAAAATTAATGTCGGAAGCTGGAGATTATATCAAATAAATGATCAATACAAAGAAGCTATTAAAATATTATTCATTTCATTAACATTTTAATAATTAAGGCGAACACTTTCAGAGTAAGATAACCAGATAGCCACAGATAAAGTGTCATTAAATTGTAATATATTGATTTAATGCTGTATTGTATACATTGTATTGTTAATTCTATTATTATACTATTATCTGGAATGTAATGTTTTGAAATCTCATGAGCAATGCTTTACTGTATCTATAACTGAAATAGCAGCTAATAATCACAATGTTGAAGGGACTGTAAATAAATTTTAAAAAGTGCACAGCAAATTGTTTGAAGGTTCATTATTTTATTATTCCTAGTATTTCACAAGCAATAGAATGAACTCATTGAATTATAACTTTTTAAATATCTACCACACCATTTAGGAGATGCCTCAAGAGGTTTCCACAAACTGAAAGAAAAAAATATAATATTTGCATAAGTGATAAATAACTTGTGAAGCACTTTGATGACTTCGAATAAATAATATCATTTTAAAACTTATCTCATTAAGAATTTTAAGAACAGTTTTGATTTGACGCAAATACGATTCTGTATAGATATTACATATTATTTAGTGTTATTATGTTGTGTAATATATATTACGTTATATATTAATTATATATATGTTATGTAGTATGCATGTTAACACTTAATGTAAACATATTACATCACAAAAAGTTGATTGGACTCGATTTCTACAAATTTAAAATAGAATGTAATTTAGAGAGTGCAGGGAAGTGTGTCAGGTCGGCATGGGGCTTCAGCTTCTCCCCCGCCCCAAGAAGCCACAGATACATATCCAAAAATACAGCTTCTACTAATTATTCTATACTAACGAAAGACGTTCAATATATCAGTTGTTTCCTTATAAAGAATTTTTCATTTAAGTTAAATATAAAATGAATGTTTATTTGTTGACTTATATTTAATGTACATATAAGTCAACAAATAAACATTCATTTTATATTTAACTTAAATGAAAAATTCTTTATAAGGAAACATCAACTCTGCTGGACACTAAATCTGTCCCCCCTGTCCGTCGTGAAAAAGGACCTGGGTGCGTCTCGGAATTTAGAATATCCCTTTGTGGAAAGAAACGATAAATTCTACAATAAGGTTTCTGAAGAAGGGGGGTCATCCGTACAAAATTAAGTACAGGAAGCATAAACTGACGTAGCTAAATACTCGATTGCCGCAAGGACAAAAACTCATTAAAACAATCTGCAGCAGTACTTTCTGCTTTTTATTCTAGTGTGCGTTGTTTCCGGAATCGTTCGGGGAATTGCGTCTGATGATATGTATTTATGTGTTGTATGTGTATATTTCTTGTCTTCGTCACTCGTCTTTGTCTTTCTATGTTGTATCCTTAAAACGTATTTACTGTTAGTACATTCTTTTCAGAAAACGACTGTCACTGAACGAAACACACTTGCAGAAATAATAATAATAATAATAATAATTATTATTATTATTATTATTAATATTATTAATATAATATACTATACTACATCCCATCCTATGAATTACAATATATTCTTACCTACAAAACCACGGACTTGATGAGGTGAAAGTCTGCACCCCACAAAGTTATCCCCACATATCCGGCATCAAGAAGTAAAACATCATTTGAAGCAAACAAGATTTAAACAAACGATGCTGTGAAAGGCGCTGGGGCTCCTGGAATGGGAACGCTCTTGCCTCTGCATCCAGGGCTGTCAGGATTTTGACAGCCGGCGATCGCCAACACACTGCGCTCCGGACGGCGATTCGTCACAGCGAACGGAAGACGTTCCAGGGCGTCGGCAGGCATATCCGAGAAAAGCAGAGATCGAGTCTCCACCTGGGGCTGATGCATTATCACCCATGTCGCCACTATCATCCAGGATATGAAGTTTCCAAACATGATTTCTAAATGAAAAATTCCTCACAGAAGCGCCGTGTGTCAGAGCGCTTTCAATGTCTAACCTCTACTGCTCCTTTCGTCGCTCGTTGTTTTTGTTCTGGATTCCATCCAAAGTTCGCTCAAAACAAGCGATTGATTATCTCGTCGTATAATTTATGTTGACTGGTATTTCTTATTCAGAGAGATGGCGTAACTACAGCGGCTGTGTGCTCAACGCTGAATTAGTAACACATGCAGCAATAAAAGCTAGCAACTACAGAAGGACTTTATAAATGAATGGAAGAAGTGTTTACACAGCTTGAATTATATTTTCACAGAAGTGTGAATTGTACCGAATGTTGCAAACTGTTCAATTTTATACTTCAAATTATGTTGGTATTACCAAAGAAGACACAAAATTTTATTTAAAATACTCGCGGGTTACTACAAAATGCTCGTTGTAAGACTTATTTGTAGATTGTTTTAAAATATTTACCTTTTGCCAAGTCAGGAGTTATTATTCTTTCATAATCACACTTCGATGTGATATTATTTTTCTATTATTTTACATTTTACTGAAAGCAGGGAAAATGAAATTGAGTGTGCTGATGTTTTGTAGGATAAAATCAATACGGTGTAAAACGATGTGAAAATCTACTGTATGGAACTAAGGATGCCTCAATACCGATTTTTAGATATACGTTCTGTTTACTGTCGAAGAATGCATAATAAGCAGTTTGAAATAATGGAAGCTAAAGTACGCGATGATGCTTCGTCGATGGAAGAATACGTTACCTCTCTTATCTTCAAATCACTGTCTCCATCATCTCGCTATTTTGGATGTTTTCTTGTTCCTATTGAGGTCCTGACCAAAGCTTTGTTACGCGAGCGAATTGACAAGAATATATTTATATTGGTTTTGTGTTTATTTATCTAATTAGACACTGCTTTATCTTTCCTTTTATCGAGTTAGTATCCAAGATAAAAACTGTGACCTGTTGGGTGAGAATATTTCGTTATTTTCTCAATGTTTGAGTGATTGTTGTTGAAAATACGAAGTTCAGAGAAAAACTTAACTTCAAAGAAGTTCGAGAGAGGAGACCTTTTTCACAGTTAATGTTATGCCATGCCTTCTGTATCTGCTATAAATCATGTACATTTTGAATTTTTTAAATGGCTGGTTTACAATACTTCAAATCAATTTCACATATAAACATTTTACTTATATGTTATTTTTTTGTGAATTACAATAGGGTAATTATTTTTTCAGTGACTATTCTATTCCCTACACATGCGTTGAAGAACGAAACATTATTGAAATATATATTTAAAATGTTTTGAATGGATTATGATATGCTGAACATGAATCTGTGACGGAGAATAAAAGAACTTCACTTCAGCACTGAAATCGGCGAGACCTAGTTATCATTTCGGGATCCCAGAAATATTCAAATAGCAGTGTTATCTCACACCGTCCTGCATCTGTACAATCATTTGCACGTTGGCAACAAGTTCCTTGCACGTTTATTTTTAATGTTAAATTGAGTATCAGCAATAAAAAATGATATCATGAGGTAAATGAATCTTCATTTAAGTAATAAATTTTGTTTCAAATTGTTTTCTAATGGAAATATTTACACAAAAATTTAGTTAAAAATTCAGGTATGGAAATATATTTTGTGCTACAAGTCGAAGGAATATTATGATTATTTTATTTTTGATTAATTACACAATAACGTGTCATTAAAGGAAGATTTGTACCAAGAAATTAATCATTTTACATATCCTGAATTTTATAAAAAATAAATGTATCTTCAAAAATATTTTAATTTATTTTAATTGGATATACAGTTTCAGACATACAATTTCGTTACAATTTTCACAGAAAACTAATAGCTTCTTTTCTAATATTAGATACTGAACAGCAATGCTGAGTGAACATTCCTAGTGAACATTGATATTTTTGTGTCGTGTTTCAAAATATCCAAGTACATAATAAATGACAATGAACAATAACAAAAAAATATGTAGATATTGTACAATTTTCTACTTAGTCATTGGGTCTGAAGTTCAATTATATGAATGCGACATATTCGCATGCCCCTTCTTAATTGTGTTTAATAATTGTGAGATAGAAATCTCAGCACATAATAATAGCACACGCCAAGGAACACCAACTGCGCAAAAATAATTTTTATAATAATATAATTTTCGTGAAACAAGTTACACCAAACATAGTTTTAGACCCATATGATATGTAAACTAGGCCAGCGTTGTATTACAGTCTGTGAAGAACAATACAAGGTAAATAATGTCTATATTCGTTGAAAAATAATAGGAACTGTTCAAATTGTTGTTTTGGATTGAAAAATCGTAAGAAGTGTCCAGCTTTTGTCACAGTTGAACACGCCGAGTTGAATCTTCACGAAGAGTTTCATACCTGATAAGCCCCTCATTATTCGCTCGAAAGGCGCCGTTCAGGTGTAAAGCATCTTTCTCTCCGCCCACATTAAAGGAAGATCGCAGCTGCAATATTGTGGAACCACTTGCTGGTTGATCCATCTGAATTAACAGCAACATCACTAATATGGTTAACAGCCATAGCAAAGACGTAGAGTTACCAGAGCCACTCTCCATGCTTCTCTGCAGGAAGAAGCATTTCGTTGGGCTATTTATTCCGTGTTGAAGCGACCGCCAATTGTTTATTCGCTTTATTTTGTGTGAGCGAAGCATGCCTCTCACCTTGACGTGTGGAGAAGAAACAATAGAAAGTGCCTTTCAGACAACCCTGAACTGAGAGAAGAATGCGCGTCATTGACCCTAACCAGGAAATAATACATTTCACATCAGCCTTCACGCAGTTTTTAGAACAGTTAATCTGAAGTGCACTTGTCGCTTAAATATTTTACGAAAAAACGTAATTTACTGATTTTGTAAACACGTGTTTTAATTTGGATCAAATTTTTATATATCTTATGATTAGCTGTGGAATATTGCTGACTGAAAGATGAGCAGTATATCTTCATATACGCATGCACTAACCGAATGTATTCTTTGGAAAAGAGAATCGCTAATTTCGTTACCATATAAAAATCGTATCAAACAAAAGGAATGCATATAAAAGTTTGCCTTAATTATATTCCATGATGAGACTACTTTAAGATTAATATGCACATAGAGAACAGATTTTTTTGTTATTTAAAAGAAGTATTAATGAGTAGCCGAGTTTAATTGCGTGAGCTATCTTCCTGATAAAAATATGACAAATAAATTCTACAATTTTCTCCCATTGATAGGGCCATATTAAAAGGAACCTTATTCATCTGATGACAGATTTAGGAGTTGAGCTGTCTGGCTATAACCGTTGGGCGAGAAGGAATTATTGGTCATAATAAATCACATTTCTAATTGGCTTTACACTGCACAACGCTGTAATCCTCATACATACAAACTCACATACACACACACATATGCACTAATAAAACCTTTAAAATGTTGTATGGTTAATTGATGTTATAATTCAATCCTTCCCTTCATTCATCTTTTAATATTTAGTATTTATATCTCTGAAGGCATTGACTCAAGACAAATCAAATAACGTGACATCCTAATTTACGAGAATCCACAAAGCAATGCTAATCGCATATATTAGTTACTTATATTAAAAGTGGATTTTCGATTTCATACATTTGAAGACATTACATTGGACACGTGTTTATAACAATGTAGTCAGCACTATAGTTTAAGGTGCAATTCAAAAAAGGCCAAAAGAATAATAGTAATTCATGAATATGAATTACTTTTTTAATTGCAATAGTATGCGAATATTATGATTTTTGTTTGATTAATTTTACTCACCTATTTACTATTTGTTTATTCGACATCGAACATCGTAACTAATAATACTTTTCCAATACTAAGCTACTCACCAATTTGGGAATTGATTTCCTTAATTTGAGTTTTATCTACCAACATGTTTCTCAATATATCTGTAGTACCCTATTACACTTCTCATACTTTCTCAGCCAATTAACACTCATTTTTATCGCATTCTAAGCAGCAGTCAATCAATTAATCAATATTCAATGTCACCTTTGTGCGATTTATGTACTTATTTCTGTACATTATGCCGCATCTACTATCAATCGTTCACTTGGACTATATACACTTTATCACATTCAAAATCACAGACGTTCCACAGCTAACGTATGAAAACATTCAAAACTTATCTGCCTGGACGTTCATAATCAGCTTTACTTTGTGAGCGCAATGCCCTTGTACTGTCATCATGGAGATATAGTAAATAAAATACTCTAACATATTTTACTTGTATTAACAGTACTTAATTTGGAATGAAAATTAGTCAATACTATTTTCTGGGTTTATTATGCGGAATTATTGTATTGAGCTCGTTGTTGCGATGCCTTCTAGTTATTTATATTGTATTAAAACTAAGTACTTCATTAATTAAGCTAATTATATATTAAATTTGTAATTGAAATTGTCATATTTCATGCGAGTTTATTATTGAATGATGTGGAGTATACTAATTAAAACACAACAAAAAATTCACAAAGAAACAAATGCGAATGCAATCTCAGCAATGACATATATTACTTTAAGTGACCGTTATGTAATTGTGAGTTGTTGTGGAAATAAGATCATATTGTAAATTATAATCATGTGCACTTACGGGAGCATCGCTACCTCTCAAGTAATACGTAAAAATACATAATAAACAAATCTATGTCGTTAATTTAAAACATCGCGGAGGAAGATGATGTAAAAAAAATATTGTAAGGCACCTAAGACATTTTGATTGCATCAATAATATTTTGTTCATTTTGTCACTAATTTTTATAAATGTTTCCTGTAGATATTGAATATTGAAATAATTTTAAAAAATGGGTTCTAATGGTTATCGTTTAAAGTATTTTTACAAGCTTTAATCTTTTACAGAGTCAATCTTTAAATAACCCTGGCAATTTTGATATTTAAAATTTTGCTGACACTGTTCAATT